CGGTGCGGATCGCGGGCCCCTCGGCTCATTCCCCCACCCCCTCCCCCCCGATTACGTCACGGCAGCTCGCCCCGCCTGCCTGGTCCTGTGGGCGGACAGGGGTGAGCGGGGGTAGGGGAGGTGTGCAGAATCCTGCGGGTGGCGGCTGGCTGAGGTCGCAGCACCCAGGGTAGAGGGACCCGCGTGCGGAGCGGGAAGGGTCCAACGATTTCAGCCTCCCCCAGACCCATGGTAGGGACATTCGCTGTCTTCCCTCCGCTTTCACAGAATCGGTTCTGTTTCACCCAGCATATTCCAGGCAGCTGAAGTGGCGGCCTGGTGACCCAGACTCGCTCTGGGACCTCAGCTCTCTTTTCATTCAGACAAGTTTGCAAAACTGTGTCGACCATGGGTCACCCCCAGGCGCAGGGCCAGGGAAAGGGCCGGGAGAAAATGGGTCCAGGGGGAAAGCACTTCATGCAGTGGCCAACCAACGCCCCGGTGCACAGGGTGTGAGACCGCACATGCATTCAAAATTTCAGTTCAGGGAGCAGAGGCTTAGCAGGGGAGCGACTTACCCCAGCTCTCCCAGCTTTCCACAGATTGGAGGTTCAGTGACCTTACAGGCAGTCGTCTTCCTTAACCTTGTCAGTGGGCACCTGCTGGTGCCACTGGGCACAGCCCCTCCTCCTACCTGCTGGGAGGGAGCAAAGGGACACGTACAAGAAGTGGGAGTTGTGTCACATTAAGTTACAGCTATTTATTTTTTGACTGTGATGATTCAGCCTCTGTTCCAATAGTTTAATAAGTCATAATCAATCCTGCAGCCTCTCCTTCCTAACCTTCCTCCAAGCGCACACACACACACACACACTCTCTCACCATCCTTGAGTACAGTTTTAGAGGATGGGAAAACAAAAAGCAAACGCCAACAACAGTTTTCTCTGTGGGCTGAGCTGCCTCTGACTGTCCACGCTATTATCTGATGTGCAATTCATCAGTGAAAGTCACACCCCACAGGCTGTTCAGCAGCTAGAGTGAGCCCAAGGGACAGGTGAGTGACCCGGGAAGGGAACCACCAGGCAAGGCAGCAATCAACTGCTAGTTTCTATCTTGGCCACACTGTGTCCTGAGGTACCCACTGCGAAGGTGGAAATCAGGGGTTACCGCTGGTTTTGTCTCCTTCTGAGATGTCGGTCATGTTGAATCATTATCGTGGGGCTCAGAGGCTGGATGGGTGGATAACTGCCTCATGTCCCAGCCAGTCTGGGAGTCCGCTTCTCTCTTGTGTGCAGGTAGAGGGAGTGGGGTGGGTTGCTAGCCAGAAGAGGCGCGCCCTTGCTCCCTTCCTAGCAGGTAGAGGGAGGGGTGGTGGCAGTAGGGGGGTGGGAGCAGAGTGGAGTTGAGCTCAAGAGACCTCCACACGCCCGCTTGTGGGGGACACGGCTGCTGCACTGGAGCCTGTTGCTACTTCTAGTTTACAACCAATGACCAAACTGGTTTCCAGGAAAAGAGGAGGAGAAGGAAGATCTGGGAAATGCCGACTCCATTCTCAAATTCCCTTCCCGGGGACCAAAGGTCTTGAACGGCTGGTGCCAAGCTCTTGTATCATTAAAAAAATAATAACTAGTTTTCTAACCTATGCAAGACATGAAACAGTGGCTCTCAATACCCGCCTTCCCCTCCACCCTGCAGGTAGCCCTGATGGGCCAATGCAAGTTTGTTTGTTTTTTAGTTTTATATGAGAACTACCAGCAAAACCAGGTTGCCCCCAAAGGATCAGCTGAATAACCATCTCCCTTCAGGGCAGTTAGCTGGGGCGAGTAGCTGGCGCCCCCACACCCCGACCCCGACCCGACCCTGTCTGCTTGTTGGTTTGCAACCTTTGGAGTTTCCCAGGTGAAATTCGAAATTGCTTCCCCTGTACACGGAGGGCAAAGAGAGGCGGAAGAAAGAGGCAGACACTCCAGATCGGGAGGTGGCAGGTTTAAGAAGCAGGAACTTACAGAGGAGGCTTATCTTGGGCCCTGCAGGACGCGCCCGTACCCCCAGAATCCTAGAAGTGTATACAGCGGCCTTATCAGGGTTCAGTCATATATTCAGTCCAGATGGTCTCAGCAACACATTGCTCTCAAGGCTGTGTCTTTGAAATAGCTCCTAGTGAGGGAACGTCCATTCCGAGGACAAGGGAGGGGGCCCTGAGCTCCCTCCAATTGCCCGGGTCCGGCTCTCCGGTCAACCAGCAGTCACGTCTTCTCCATGACTTTCTCCAACGAGGCTGGTTATCTCGGGTGGTCTGATACACTGACATCCCCCTTCGCCATGCTTTCCTTGGGAGGTCTGCCCTCCCCTCTCCCCGCATAGGTCAGATGGGATGAGTCCAGCCTGGAAAAAGTGCTGGCTGATCGACCCACCTCAGGCACGCCTGTCTCCACCGCAGGGCTGGGTGAGTGGGGTCTGAACAGCCTTGACCTTGACAGCAGAACCTGCCTAATCTAGAACAATTGTTGATTTTGTCGGATAATAGAGGCTCCCTCTCCCCGCTTTGAATGCCTTAAAAGCGCCGTTCAATTTTGCTACCACCTGCACTTGGCGGCTACCCTCAGGTTCCGGGTCCCTCTTTGAGTCCTAATGGCTGTTCTTTCGACTTCCCCTCCATCTGCTGAATGAAGTCTGCACTGTCCCCCTTGGGGCTGCACCCCCTCCCCGCTCTGCAGCTTGCTGAGTAACTAAGTAACCAAACCTTGAGCCAGAAAAATAGAGGGGTTGGGGAGGAGATAACCTCCACACTGGCTTGTTTGATATCTTTAAAGCAATTAAATAATACCCTTCTCTCTTACAGCATTTATCAGAGAGACAATAGGCAGCAGGAAATTATGAACAGGAGCTGGACAAAGGACCAGGCCAGTGCTTAGCCTGTGACATGGGGAGATACTGGTGAATTCAGCCTCTTGAAGAGAAGTGCACAGCCCAGGAGCGCCGACGTGAATGCCCAAGTCCCAAGTAGGTCATTAAGTCTCTTAGCGGCTTAGTAAATTAAATGGCAGGGAATAGTTACTCTGCAATCAGTTTAGTGGAAGGAAGTCTTGCAATTAAGCCTAAAGGAAAGCGGGAGAGCCCTGGGAGGAGGCTTGGACCTAGCTGGGAGTGATGGGTGCACAGCTAAGCATCCGATGTGGTTTCTGTTGTCTCCATGGGAATGCTGAGGATGAGGTTCACCATTTCTGGGGCTGCGGGAAGGGCAGGGCTCCTACGGTGGGGAACACACAGGTGTACAGAGGAGGAGAAGGTCCCCTGCGTGTTCATCATGTGACCTGGACTTCCTGGGACACTCCTGTTTTCAGCTGTTCTGTCCCTTGTCACCCACACACCGTGTGCCTTTTACCAAAATTTGAGATGTCAGCTTCCACATTCCATCTCCGAGACTCCTGGAGACCTGGTGGCACAAGAAACCCTTTCTGACGTCTTGAGTCCTGATGGTTGGTTTGGAAAATGTGGAATATGGTCCCCAGACCTCTTTTAAAACTCTGACCATTTAGCATTGTGGGTTTAATGGTCTCTTCAGATGCAGAAGGCCCTTTCTTTGCTTCTCTCTTCCCTAACCCTTAACAGGTAGGAGTTAGCAATTTTTCTTGATGAGATTCCTCAATCCATAGGGGACACAATGGCTGAGTAAGAGGATCGGCATCAGAACCTCTCTGAAAATCACCCCAAATAGGTTGAGAATCAGGGAGCGTGGTCAGAAGACACCACCCTATACATATTGTTCCTTTTCCTCTGCCCTCCCCCTCATTTCAATATCCACGTAGAATCCTGGACCTTAGAAATGCTCAAGTTTATAGTCCACATTCCATTATTCTACAGTTAAAGACACCAGGCTCAGACAGGCCTGGTGACTTGCCCAGGTCATCCAGACAGCGAGTGGCAAAGTCGAATTGAATCAGCTCTTCTGGGTCTGAGAGGCCTGCCCCTTCCACAGAGCGCCCCCCAGCACGGTGTGTGGAAGCCGGACAGGAGGATTCCCGGCTCTTCCCCTTCCCGGCTCCCCCCTCACCTGGTCCAGCACTTCCTTCCAGCAGTGTGTTCTTCCTGATAACCAGATCCCGGTCACTCTCACCCTGGCCTGCATCCTTTCCTTAAAGCCCCTTGGTGACGGAGTTGGAAAACACGTGGCTGTCCTCTCCTGGGGTTTTCCCAGCACGTGTGATAGCACTGATTCTGCAAGATGCTCTGTAGGAAAAGAGCGCAAGTCTGGGAAGCGCTGCGTGTCCGCTCCTTCCCTTGAAGGTCCACCCCCGTGTTTATTAATAACTCTCCTGGGTAGCATTTATTAAGTACCCATTATGTGTTTGGGGGTGCTGAGCATTCCTCACATCCTTTATTCCATTTAATCCTCTCAACCTTTCCGATACACACCATTATTATTATTAATACTGTTATTTCAAGAAATCTCACAATGAAGAAACCTGTTTATCTGAAACCCAGTGATGTTTCCCCAATTAATTTAGGTGCGGGGACCTTCCCTGTGAATAATTTTTAACACTTGTTAAGGGTTTACTGTGTGCCCGGCACCGTAGTGGACACTTTATGTGAACTCACGTAATCTCGTTGAAGCCTGTCACCACTATGACTATTGCCATTTGTGAAGGAAGCAACCACAGCACAGAGAGGTTAAGTACTCTGCCCAAGGCCACACAGCTACCAAGTGACAGAGCTTACCCACTCTGCCCTCCCAGGTGCCAATGCCTGAAGCATGATTATGCAGAGCAGCCTGTTGGAAAAGGGGGCTCCTTCCTTCCTCCAGTCACTCCTGGAAGCTGATTAAAATGGAGGGGGTGCTATGAATAGTCTTAATTGTTTTAAACTCTTTTCCTTTCCATTTATCCCCTAATCTCTGGGTGTTTGTTGATGAGTTCTGGATTGTTTCCAAGTTCTCTGCAGCCCTGACAACCACCCAGTCTTTTCTAGGACCCTTTTTCCACCTGCTTCCAGACCGAGCCAGGTGACAAGTGTCTGGTGCTGTCTTGCTGTGTGATGTATCCCCTCCCACTCTCAGGCTGAATCGCCTAATTAGCCTGCTCTTTGGGCAGCCCTCTTCCTGGGAAAGGGGAAAGAGGTAAGGAGAGCTGCCTTTAGGATCAAGTTTATAGACTCCAGGACGTCAAAAGGCCCTCAGAGAGCACCTAGTACAGGGCTTACAACCAGGGAGCCCAGCAGAATCATCTGGGGTTTTTAAAAACTAAAGATGTTCTAGAGGGGAGGGTATAGCTCAAGTGGTAGAGCGCATGCTTAGTATGCATGAGGTCTTGGGTTCAATCCCCAGAACCTCCTCCAAATATAGACAAATAATTAAATCTAATTACCTCCCCTTCATAAAATAAACAAACAAAAAAGCAAAAAAAGATGCCCTAGTGCCACCCTTAGCGATTCTGATACAATGGTCCTGGGATGGAGACCAGATTGTTTTTTTTTGAAAGCTCCCTGGATGAGGTTAAGGCCGACTCGAGCAGAGAACCCTGGATAGTTAAACCTTCTCATTTTAGAGGTGCAGAAACTTTGGGTCAGGGAAGCAAAAAGTCTGTCCTGGGTCAGACACCAAGCAACTCGGTCTCTTTACCCAGGCCCCTGTGGACTCACAGCACATCCCGCAATTCCAGGAATCCTGTTACACTGGTAGAGGGGGCGCTGGGCAGGGTGTGTGCAGGTGTGGAGTCTGGGAGCGTCTGCTTTACTGGTAGATGGAACCAGAGTTTTCCCTCCCATAAGGAAAAACTCCGTTCAGCAGCAAACACCGTCGCGGACAGGGGTACCCGGGTGTGGGGAGCGGGGCAGCACCTTGGTGTCCTTTGGCACGGACTCACTGCAGATGCTCTGTCTCTTGTAGGAATGGGTATCTCACAGCTTGTTAGTGGTGGGTTGCGATGTCACAAATGGGCCGGGACCAGTAAACGAGTCTCTGTGGTTTAGTTTGTATTTAGGTCAAGGAAGAGCAGAGGCAGGTTGCATCCAGGCCAAGTTAGAGAATTAACAAGCTGGGGGCACCCTCCTGGTTCTGGCATGTTCCCTCCTGGGGTCTGTGCTTTTCCGTGTCGCCAGCAGCCGGGGACCGTGGTGAGGAATCCCACCGTGTCCTATTCACACAGACGACTCCTTCTGGCTTGGGACATTCTCCATGTCCTTTTCTTCCTGTGCTAGTGGATACAAGGGTAGTTCGCCCTCCACAGGACATAGAATATTTACATTTTAAAGGGATGTGGGGGAGGCACAAGCCCATGGGAGAGGATCTGCAAGTGGAGATGCTGGCTTGATGTTGGCAGAGGGGTCTTCCTCCCAAAAGGCGTCTCTGATGGCAGAGCAAGTACGGAGCGCTCTCTCTCTCTGAGTCAGGAATTTCCGAGGCTGGAGGGCCTGGGTCCTCCAAGATGCAAAAGCTGGGAGTTACTCCAGTAACTGCAGTTGATGGATTTAAATGCCGTTTCCGAAGAGACTGCAGTTCCTTCGCTGGCCCCAGGGTGGCGTGAGCACACAGAACTCACCGCCTCATCAGGTCTCTGCCAGCTTGGGTGCCAGCCCTTGCAAGGATGAGCCAGCCCCCTCAACCCACTCCTTGGCCTTTCATTCTTCTTTTTCCTCCCCTCTCCACCCTCCCGCCAGTCTGAGGATAGGATGCAGCCCTGATGGACTGGAAATGAGATCTCAGTGCCTGGAACCCAGTCACTTGCTGCAGATTCTGAAATCCTCTGGATAAGCAGTCTCTCCCTGTCCCCCCTCCCGTGTTAGTTGTGGCCCCTCTGGCATCACTGACAAGGATCTCCTTTCTCCCTGGCCCTATACCCTGGGCGGCCTTGCTGGGAGTGACAGCTGTAGCTTTTTGTTTCGGGTGAGATGCGGAGGCATTGAGGGCGGATGCAAATTCGGCTGGGGGAGTTTTTACAGCCAGATGGGTTTGGCAAAGGGTCTGGAAGAGCTCTCTTGGGCACCTTAGTGCCTGCTCTTGGGCTGCGTGCTGGAGCCACAAGAGAGGCTGTCGCTGAGTGGTGCAAAAGTTCCTTTGTGGCAAAGAGGATAGATTTTCCCTTTTTTCTGTAGGAGGGCCTCCATGAGGACCACGGGCATTGACACGGGTTTTAATTGCAGTGCCAGGTGGGGCTGCATTGATCTGGTTGAGGCTGTAGTGCTGAGGCCTGGCCACTTCCCCAAAAGGAGAGACAAATGACGATGTCAGCTTCTCCTCAGCGCGGGGGCGGCCTGTTGGCTTTGTTTGCTGGTCCCACGCTTCGCGGTGCCTGCCGGATGCCCGAGGCCCCAGAGCAGGTGGCTGGACTGGGGAGGGGGCGCTGAGGCTTCCAAGCCCCACAAGTCATTTGTGTGTCCTCCCCTGCCCCCACAGCCCCACAGCATCCAATGGCTCCCCCTCCTCTGGTCCTCCTCCTCCACCCTCTCCCCCACCCTGGTCTCCTACTGCAGCCAGAGCCTCCTCTGCCAGATTGCCCCGTGGCTGCTGCCAAACGCTCATTTCTCCGTCCACTTCGGACACAATCTTTCTCCCTGGGATCGTGAAGTGTGACAATTCGAGGGTTTTGTTTCTAGCCTGCTGGAACACGGAGCCCTTTGGAATAGTTGGATTTAGGGCTTAGAAGGCGTCTCTGCTCCCAGTAGGGGTAGGTGAGAGCATTGTGGGACCCCACCCCACCAGACAGAGCAGGTGACGAGGGAGGCAGGGCTTGACCTCACCGTGGGACACTGCAGAGGACTCACTTTAGGGTCCTTTACATAAAAAAAGCTCAACTGAAGAGAACTTAAAAAACTTTTTTTCTCCATACAATTTTTCTGTGTCTACATGGCATATGTCAATTTGAAACTACTTACTGGGTAGTTACTTAGGGTACCCATCCCTAAGAAGGTGATTTGGCACCCTTGGGCCTATTTTCAATATTGTGCTTTGGGCTTCAAAGTGGATTTTTTAGAGAGGAGTTCCAGAAATGAGTTGGCAGCGGTGATGA